CAGATTCTTTTAAACTATGTATTTCAAAAACTAGGCACAAGGGATCCCCTAGATTTTTTCAAACTACTTCAAAAATCAGACAGAGGAGGTTTCCGAAATTCTTTTAAACTATTTCGAAAACAAAACAAAAGATATCCTCCAGGTTCCTTCAAAATACTTCAAAAACAAACAAAAGGATCCCCAAGATTCTTTCAAACTAATTCAAAACCAGGCACAAGGGGTCCCCAAGCTATTTTTCAAACTACTTCAAAAACCATACAGAAGAGGTTCCCGAGATTCTTTTAAACTACTTCAAAAACGAAATAAAAGTTATCCCTAAAATTCCTTCAAACTACTTACTTCGAAAACAAAACAAAAGGAATGCTCCAGATTCTTTCAAAGTATGTACTTACTTCTAAAACAAAAAAAAGGATCCCCAAAATTCTTTCAAATTAATTCAAAACCAGGCAGAAGTTGTCCCCGATATTCTTTCAAACTACTTCAAAACCAAAATAATAGCGGTCCCCAAGATTCTTTCAAACTACTTCAAAAATCAGAACAAGAGGTCCCCAAGATTCTTTCAAATTACTTCAAAAACTAAATACATGGTTTCTTTAAGATTCTTTCTAATTAATTACTTCAAAAACATGACCAGGGATCTGCGAAATTCTTTTAAACTACTTCAAAAACAAAACAAAAGTGGTCTTCAAATTTTTTCAAACTAACCAGGCACAAGAGGTCCGCGAGTTTTTAACTACTTCAAAAACTGGACGGAAGAGGTTCCCGCAGTTCTTTTAAACTAATTCAAAAACAAAACAAGAAGGGGTCCCCAGGATTCTTTCAAATTACTTACTTCGAAAACAGAACAAAAATGATCCTTTGGTTCTTTCAAAATACTTCAAAAACAAAAAAAAAAAAATCCCTAAGATTGTTTCAAACTAATTCAAAACCAGGCGCAAGTGATCCTCGAGATTCTTTCAAACTACTTCAAAACCAAAATAATAGCGGTCCCCAAGATTCGTTCAAACTATGTACTTCAAAAACCAGGCACAAGAGGTCGCCTGGATTTTTTCAAACTTAAAGTCACTAGATTACTAAAGTACCGCAATCGTCCGCCATTTTTAGGCAAACGAAGCCGCCAAATTTAAAATTTACAAAATAACAAAACGGTGTACTTGGTGTTTAGACACTTGTTTAGACGATATTCCGATTTTAAATTTTCGTTACTAAAATTTTTGGTGTAAAAAAATATAAAAAAAACAAGGATAATTTAAACATTTTTATTTTTTAAAGCCTCTCGCATGGCAACGCTTCTGCTATTTCTAGCAGTACAACCTTTTGTTTGAACAGTTTTTAAACTAAAATATATCCTACTCCTAACATACACTTTGACTACTTTATATAGTATGTTATGGCAATTTGGTACATTAACAAGATACTGAATGGGATGTTGCTGCAATATATTTAGAAAATCTTCTAGGCCTAATATATTATTTTTAATTTGGTTTTCATATTTTCGGTAAAGTACTTCAACGTCCTTTATATATTTAAATAAAGTTGGATGTGCGTATTGCAAAACGTTCTCTTTATATTCCTTTAATTTAAGTAATTTATTTATGTTTGTTTCGGAATGATCAGAGGTAATAAGGCTCCCAAAACATTTATCACATGTAGTAAAATTTTTTTTAATTTTATAAATGACAGCCCCTAATAAATAGTAAATACTACTCTGTAAATTCATGTCCATTTCTAAATCAACCACAATTTCCTCAGGTAGTTCAAAAGAAGAACTGCTGGCATTTTCAACTGACTTATTTAATTCGTCACAATATTGAACCACCGAGTCACCAACATCTTGTTCATAATTTCCCCTTTTTACAGTGGTTTCAAATTGCGACAAACACAGTAATCTTAACGAAACTCTGAACATGTGTGCATCAGGTACGGGTTGACGGCTTCTAATAGTCGAGAAACTGTTCTCTAAAGCATCTTGTGTCAACCGAGAGAGCATTATGTAATTGAATTTCTCTTCTTCTAAATAATGCTTTTGGAAATCTAAAGCTGTCTCGGTTGATAATAGAATGCCAGTTTGGAATGGTTTCCAGGTGCCATTGACTGTAGTTTTACAAATAAGATCTTGAACCGACCTTAAAAAACTTATGCTTTCGTCATACTCGTCTTTATTTTGGTAGGACAGTGCTAATTTATGGTAACGACTAGTCATTAACTGGAACCATTTAAAAATAACTCTAATAAACCAAGCTGTGGTCTTATGCTTCTCATCAATTTTTTTTTCACCAATATAATATAAAATCCCTGCTGCCACATCATTGTTTAGTAATGCAACGCTGATACTAACATTCATTTTTTCAAAATGAGACGGCGAAATTACATTTTGTTTTAATCTTGGGCACACTTTAAGTACATCCGCGCTATCTATTTCAAAAACCCTTTTAATAGGTGCAATAGAAATTTCGTTACAGGGTAACTTATAATGTTCTACAACTGAATGGTCCACAACAAATTTATGGCCATTTGTAAAAGCAGCAGCAATATTTTTAAAAACATGTACTGGATCTGGTGTAAAAAATAATTTTTTGTCCCCATAGCACGGATGCTTTACGAAATTTTGAATTTTAGAATATTTTCCAGCTACGATGTTTAACATTTTCCATAAGCTTCTGTTTTGCGATCCCATGTCTGATATCACAGCTTGAATAATTATACCTGCTGCATGCGCCCTTTTAATAATATCTGTTATCCGGTTGTATAAGTCTACAGGATTCACTGAATTTGCTGTGAAATCATATGCTACTATTTGTTTCCATCTAGTAGAAACCCCACCTAGCATATAAACTAACGCATGGGTTGCATTTTCATCTGTAACTTCATTTCCATTTGATAATCGAAGTGTAGTTTTACCAACTACCTGGGACAGCGAATTATCATATTGGAGGCCAGGTTTAATTGCCATCTCATCGAAGATAAGGGTAGCATGCCGTTCCTCTGGTTCAAAGGTCTCCATCTAAAAATTTAACAACATTAATCATAATGTACTGTATAATGCTATTTTGAAATAATATATATTAAATGCACATTCACCAATACTAACTTTAATTTGGAGCAGATTAAAAACATCTTCTAAAATACCTGGACGGAATTTTAGATTCCTAATTCTATGTTGCAATGTCCGAGGGCTTGGGTAGGGAAGTTTTTGTCTACGAATTTCTTCATAGCCCTTTACTCCACATGCCATATACAGCTTCAGTGCCTTAGTAATTGTCTCATCAGACCATGTTGAACCTCTACATTGATTGGTTTCCAAAAAGTGTAACTGATCTTCTGTAAAAATTTTTTCCAAATTTGTTTTACTCTTCTGTTGCAGTTTTTTTTCATAAAGTTTACACTTCCTCAATGCTGCTTTAAGTTTTTGTTTGAGTTCTCCAACAGTGTCCAAATTATCTATTGAATGTAGCCCGATGTCTTCATCTGCTCTGGAAATAAGAAAGTCTTCATCTTGTACTTCTTGTTCGTTTGTCTCATTTAATTCTGGTGTCATATTTAAATTGTCACTTTCCACCTCCCTTTCCACACTTGTGAGTCGTTTTCTCTTTTTTGTCAGCAAATCTGGATAACTATTTGGAGTGAGTAATTTTTTACCATCCTGCCTATTATTTTCGAACTGACAATCAGAAAAGTGCACCTAAAATTGATTTATTAATACAGATTAATACAATACTGGTTTAATACTTACTTGGCAAATTTGTGCCCGAGCAGGTAAATCGGAGCGATTAATTAAATCCAACCACAGTTTTCTTCTTTCTTTATTTTTATCTCCTGTAGGAATACAAAATAATCTCGCACCCTTAGCACTACTGTTTTTGCAATCAACAATGCAACAACCAGGCATCTTGATATTAACACAATTAACTAATTTAAAAAAACTATAATTCGAGATCCGCACTGAACTAGCTTAACCATAACCACAATCTTTAAACACCACTATATAAACACATGGCAGTAATAAAAAAAAACACTAAACTTGTGTTAAAATTGCGGGAAATTTAAAAATGTCCGCCATTTTCTGGCAAAAATATCTCTATCTCTTTCCAACTCATGGGTACAATGGATTGCGGTACTTTAGTAATCTAGTGACTTTATTCAAACTACTTCAAAACTAGACGGAAGAGGTTTCCAAGATTCTTTTAAACTACTTCAAAAACAAAACAAAAGGAGTCCTCGGGATTCTTTCAAAGTACTTACTTCAAAAACAAAAAAAGGATGCCCAAGATTCTTTCAAAAACAAGACATCAGAAGCAAGGGCGAAATTGGCCATCTAGAAAGGGAAAATTTTCCAGAGAATATCAATATCAAGGGATATGACAACATTTTGACCTCTTGATACCTTTGTAAGTATTATACATTCACTCATATATCTAATACTATTAGATTAGATATATGCATTCACTAAACATAAATGACAAAAGAATAAAAGAAGGCTAGTATAATAACAAATTCCCCTATATTCTTTTTAAATAAATATTAGTAGCGTTGGCGGTACTGACCAAATTTTTTAAACAAATGACAAGAGAGCTTAAATGTCAATTTATATATTGTCACTATAAGTTCACAGCGGTGGAAGCAAACGAATTTTTTTGTTTTTTTTTTGTCTGAGCTAACTGTGAATTATTGTCTAGCAAGACAAGAACTCTGAATAGATCTTCCCAAATATGCAATATGCAGACTAGCAGTTAGAATATTTATGGTATTTAGAATCCCAAATTTTATTCCTATTTCACGTAATCAATCCCTCATATCCTCAAAAATGACTCCCTAACAAGTATTGTACACTCTGTTTTTTGAAAATTTGACATTACTTGTCATTTATATTTCGTAAACAGATAATAGTAATAAGACATATTTTGTAGATTTGATTCTACTGGAAATTTAATTTTGTAAAGTAAATGTATCTTCACCGTTAATTTATTAAAATGACAAAATAAGTTACCCTTTTGTTAAAGCCACGTGCCGCCACTGGTAAAGTCAACCAATTTGTGCAAAAACATGAAATATTTTTGTTGAAATTAATTAACCGTGCTGTCTAAATGGCGAAAAAAGAAATTTCCGAAGAAGAACGTCTGGAATTAGCTGCAAAACTAGACAAAGAATTAGATGAATTCATAGATAATCTCCCTAAACGCAAAGAGGACGAACCTCTTCCGTTTGACAGATGGGAAGAAGTGAGGTTATGTCAAAAGAGTTTTTTATTATTATTAATTAATTATTCCCGTTGCAGGAAATTACCAATCACCCTTTTTTCCTAAAGGAAGTCCCCGAACCCGGTTCCGCAGTGCACCCTTTATACGAAGGCTTGCAAAAACTCAAGTACGATCCTGAAGAAAACGAGCCCGAAGAATTAGCCCGTGCCTACAAAGACGACGGAAATTTCAACTTCAAACACAAAAATTACAGAATGGCGATTATTTCGTACACCGAAGGCATCAAAGCGAAGTGTGGAAACCCCGAAGTCGAAGCAACTTTGTACAACAACAGATCGGCGTCACATTTTTTTCTAAAAAATTTGCGATCGTCGTTAATGGACGCCGAGGAGGCTTTAAAACTCAAACCTTATTACGATAAAGCTTTGACACGGGCTGCTAATTGTTGCTTCCAGTTAGAAAAATTCGACGAAGCCATCAAGTTCTGTGACAGGATTTTGGATCAAGATAAACATAACAAGGACGTGTTAGAATTGAGGAATAGTAGCGCAAATTTGGAAAAAATTAAAAACAGGGATCGTCGGAAAAAGGAACTCGATATGAGAAAGTTGAAAGAAGAAGAAGCGAATATTATAAATGCGATTGTAGGTAGAGGAATTCGGGTTCAGGGGGGGTCAGATAATTTAAGTTTGATTTCGTTGGAGCCGCACTTCCCTCAGTTGTTTGACAAGCGCGTTTCAATCGATGAAAACGAGCGCCTCGTGTGGCCTGTAATTTTTTTTTACCCGGAGTACAAGATTATGGATTATATACAAGAGTTCAACGAGGAGAACACGTAAGGTTGTGTTATTTTTACCTATAATTAAGTGATTGTTAGTTTTTTCGAGCAACTGACGCATGTGTTTGAAAATTACCCTGAGTGGGACGAAGAAAGAAAGTACAAGGCTGAGAACTTGAACGTCTATTTTGAGGATGAAAAAAAGAGAAACGTACAGGTTGACGTCAATAAAACTTTACTAGAAATTTTAAAATTAAAGGGGTACGAACTATTTGTTTGTGTATAATTTATCTGTATTGATTGTCATTATATTGCAGGCATGTAATAAAAGAGGGTACTCCCAAGTTTATTATTTTGGTGGCAAATAGTAAGGTTGAAAGGCTATTTCTGGCGCAGTCTTGAATTATTTTTGTCACAGTTTATAAAATTTTTATTACCAGTCGTGTAAGCTGAAACTTGGAATAAACCATCTGAATAATTGACCGACTATTGATTGTTGTTGTATTTTTTACATTTCATTTTAAGAAGGGGTATGAGACGAAATACGTTTTAGTTGTAGCCGTGACTTGATTGTGGCACGTGTTGCTTTCTCAGCACATACTAGTGTAATATTGAAGAGGTCTCGAGGTGGCGGCGACATAAATTATTCAATTGACGGTGGAATTGTTCAAATTGAACCGTTATTATCATAAAACCACTAGGGTGATAAATTTTTACGCGGACGTCTGAGGTGCAGAAAATGCTTTTTATTTTTTGTTGCGTCGCCGCGATGATGGAAAAAATGTTGTAAATAATTAAGGTAGCGTCTACGGCGGCCGGTATTTTTCACGGCTGGCATTTAGGTGAGTAGAGTTTATATTTTTTTAAAGGGTTGATGAATTTACGACGAGTTTCGCCTGAAAACACCGTTGAAGCGCATTTCCAGGTTTAAAAGTCCGCTTGTAATATTCAAAATTAATACACAAGTAGCGTGCAGGACGGTCAGTATTCATATTATGCCCGGGACGAGTTTGCAGAATCGTAGACAACATTTTAGTGTGCTGAGGTTGGCACCGTTTCGCCCTCGTTTCGCATTATTACATAGTTTTCGTATCCGTAATAACCTGGTAATCCCGGGTCAGTGCTAGGTACATAATAAAAACGACCACTACAACTTTACAAGTGTCTGGGTTTTCATCGATCTTCTCACGTTAGCAACACTTAAAACAAAACATAACTGGCAGGACAGTGTATAAATAGGAAAGTCTGATGAAAACAGCCACACATTTCCTGTTCCGCTGTTAAATATTCGTTCGGAATATTCAAGTGGTCAAAGGGTGATTAAAAAAATTTGTATTACAAACAAGTCTCCAATTTCAAGAAATATTTTCTAAGACATGCACAAGAAATATTCGATCACATCACGTCTTGGAAATTATTCGTGAGGAGATGTGTTCTAATTTTACTCAAAAAAGGTTTAATGACTTAGCATCAACAGATAGGTACTATGTTTACAAAATTAACGCAGCAGTAATAAAGTTAATCTTTGTAACGATGAAAATGGCCATAACTTCGGGTAATGATGCTTGTTTATTATACTGAGTGATTATAAAAGACCGCACGTCAAGTTGATTTTAGAAAATCGATCGCTGCATTTTTAATAATAAGATTTTGCCGCTTCCGTATTTTATCAAACAATTATTACCATATAAAGATAACACAAATTGGAATATTGGTTGAGTATCACCTGCTTCGGTTGTATTCAATCAATCATTTTGTAGCAAACACATTCCAAAGCTTAAAAAACTAGGTTATGATTGTTTTAACTGACATTTGTGACAGGCGTTCAGTGAGTACTTGTCGAGATCATAAGGAAGCGGCAAAATCGCGAAATTTCAAAGTCAATCGGACGTATAATTTTTTGCTTGTATGTTCGAAATACTTATAAGTAACCTAAGAAAAAAGTTAAAATCTGTACCCTTCTTAAATAATTTTGGTAGTTTGTTGAAATAACCGTCGATGAGTTTTTTAAACAAATGACAATCCTTGAATAGAGTATGTCCTTCGGTGATCACAAATTTTCTAGATTTTTTATTTTGTGTCTTTTAATGTTGCCATTACAACTATCCAGGATTAGTTTAATATAACTTTGAAACTTCAAAACTGGTTGCTCTGAAATCTTGTAAATATTTTATTTTTGTTTATATTTTAGTTTTGCCGAATAAATCGTATCCAAAATGTGCAAAATATGGTGAGTCTATACTTGTGATTCATTATTGATTCAAAATTCTGGCCGAATTTGTGGAAAGATTCCAAATGTTGTGAAAGTCCCAAATATTCTAACCCTTTCAAAGGTTTTAATAAGGCCTTATTCTAAAGGGATTTCATGGATTCCAGAAATTCCGAAGATTTCGCAGATTCCAAATATGTATTTAAAAATTGGAAAGATGATAAAAATCCTAAAGATATAAAAATGTTTAAAATTCTATCGATAGTGAAGTATCTATTCTGAAGGCTCTAAAGATTATAGAAATTCTAGTCATTGTAGATTCTAGAGATTTTAAAGATTCCAAAGTTTGCAGTGGTTTGAAAGATTCTAAAAGTATTAAAGCTCTCACGGATTACATACACTAGAAACTGAGAATTGTAAAGACGCTTAGGATTCTAAATAAACTAAAATTCTAATGTTCCAAATATAGAAAAGATCCAACAAAATGTTAAAAATTGTAAAGAACCTGGGGATACCAATAATCTTAGAAATTGCAGAAATTTTAGGCTTCATAAAACTCCTAATGATTCCCAAAGTGTTCCAAATTTCCCTAGATTGAAAGGCTCTAAAGGGTCTAAAGACTCTATGGACTCTAAGGGGTCAAAAGCTAAAATTTTGTTTCGAATACTTGAAAGATACTAAAGGTTCCAGAGAAATTCCAGAAAGCCAAAGATTCTAAAACTTGAAAAAATCGCGTGAACCAAAGACTTTAGAGAAAACAAAAATCTAAAAGTCCTAAAAATCGGAAAAATGCTTTATTTAATTTTTATAAATCCTAAAAGCACTGAATACCCTAATTATTATTTTATAAATATTGGAGACTGTAAAGATTCCAGAGATTCCAAAAATTCCAAAGATTTAGACTCTCGAGAGCTCTATGAATTTTAGAAAATCTAAAAAAATTTAGAAAGCGATGGTAGACCTAGAAATCTTGAAAATATTGGAAAAGGTTGAATTTCAAAATTCTGGTATAACTGGAGCCTGATAATTTTAGAAATTTTGGAAAACGTGGAAATTATGACCATTTTTTGTACTTCGGAAAATCTGAAAAATTGGGCTAATTTGGAAAATCTGAACATTCTGGAAATTTTGACAATTTTGCAAATCAGAGATTCCAAAAATTCCAAAGATTTAGACTCTTGAGATCTATGAATTTTAGAAAATCTGAAAAAAATTAGAAAGTGTTGGTAGACCTAAAATCTTGAAACTATTGGAAAAGGTTAAATTTCAAAATTCTGGTATAACTGGAGCCTGATAATTTTATTAATTTTGAAAAATGTGGAAATTCTGGCTATTTTGTGTACTTCGGAAAATCTGAAAAGTTGGGCTAATTTGGAAAATCTGAACATTCTGAAAATTTTGACAATTTTGCAAATCAGAGATTCCAAAAATTCCAAAGATTTAGACTCTTGAGATCTATGAATTTTAGAAAATCTGAAAAAAATTAGAAAGTGTTGGTAGACCTAGAAATCTTGAAAATATTGGAAAAGGTTCAATTTCAGAATTCTGGTATAACTGGAGCCTGATAATTTTAGAAATGTTTGAAAATGTGGAAATTCTGGCCATTTTGTGTACTTCGGAAAATCTAAAAAATTGGGCTAATTTGGAAAATCTGAACATTCTGGAAATTTTGACAATTTTGCAAATCAGAGATTCCAAAAATTCCAAAGGTTTAGACTCTTGTGATCTATGAATTTTAGAAAATCTGAAAAAAATTAGAAAGTGTTGGTAGACCTAGAAATCTTGAAACTATTGGAAAAGGTTAAATTTCAAAATTCTGGTATAACTGGAGCCTGATAATTTTATTAATTTTGAAAAATGTGGAAATTCTGGCTATTTTGTGTACTTCGGAAAATCTGAAAAATTGGGCTAATTTGAAAAATCTGAACATTCTCTAAATTTTGACAATTTTGCAAATTAGAGATTCCAAAAATTCCAAAGATTTACATTCTTGAGATCTATGAATTTTAGAAAATCAGAAAAAAATTAGAAAGTGTTGGTAGACCTAGAAATCTTGAAAATATTGGAAAAGGTTCAATTTCAGAATTCTGGTATAACTGGAGCCTGATAATTTTAGAAATGTTTGAAAATGTGGAAATTCTGGCCATTTTGTGTACTTCGGAAAATCTAAAAAATTGGGCTAATTTGGAAAATCTGAACATTCTGGAAATTTTGACAATTTTGCAAATCAGAGATTCCAAAAATTCCAAAGGTTTAGACTCTTGTGATCTATGAATTTTAGAAAATCTGAAAAAAATTAGAAAGTGTTGGTAGACCTAGAAATCTTGAAAATATTGGAAAAGGTTCAATTTCAGAATTCTGGTATAACTGGAGCCTGATAATTTTAGAAATGTTTGAAAATGTGGAAATTCTGGCCATTTTGTGTACTTCGGAAAATCTAAAAAATTGGGCTAATTTGGAAAATCTGAACATTCTGGAAATTTTGACAATTTTGCAAATCAGAGATTCCAAAAATTCCAAAGGTTTAGACTCTTGTGATCTATGAATTTTAGAAAATCTGAAAAAAATTAGAAAGTGTTGGTAGACCTAGAAATCTTGAAACTATTGGAAAAGGTTAAATTTCAAAATTCTGGTATAACTGGAGCCTGATAATTTTATTAATTTTGAAAAATGTGGAAATTCTGGCCATTTTGTGTACTACGGAAAATCTGAAAAATTGGCTAATTTGGAAAATCTGAACATTCTGGAAATTTTGACAATTTTGCAAATCAGATTCCAAAAATTTCAAAGATTTAGACTCTCGAGATCTATGAATTTTAGAAAATCTGAAAAAAATTAGAAAGTGTTGGTAGACCTAGAAATCTTGAAAATATTGGAAAAGGTTGAATTTCAAAATTCTGGTATAACTGGAGCCTGATAATTTTAGAAATTTTGGAAAATGTGGAAATTCTGGCCACTTTGTGTACTTCGGAAAATCTGAAAAATTTGGCTAATTTAGAAAATCTGAACATTCTGGAAATTTTGACAATTTTGCAAATTAGAGATTCCAAAAATTCCAAAGATTTAGACTCTTGAGATCTATGAATTTTAGAAAATCTGAAAAAAATTAGAAAGTGTTGGTAGACTTAGAAATCTTGAAAATATTGGAAAAGGTTGAATTTCAAAATTCTGGTATAACTGGAACCTGATAATTTTAGACATTTTGGAAAATGTGGAAATTCTGGCCATTTTGTGTACCTACTTCGGAAAATCTAAAAAATTGGGCTAATTT